AAGAGCGGTCAATAAGAGGAGGGGGGGGACATGCTGAGCCATGTTGGGGGATACCTTGGAGCATCGAAGGCGTTCTTGGAGTTCTGGGGCTTGTTGGGGGCGTCTTGGGGTCCTCTTGGGGCTGTTTTGGGGCATCTTGGGGCTCTCTTGGGGCTCTTTGGGGGGTCTTGGGGTTCGCTTGAGGCTCTTTTGGGGCGTCTTGGGGCCCTCTTGAGGCCCCTCTCGGGGCCCTCTTATGTCTCTCTTGGTGCTCTCCTGAGAGATTCGGAGGGTCTCCTGGGGCCATCATTGAGGCCATCGATCAAAAAGGGGGGGTCCTTTATTTAGGTCCGCTCATCAGAGCCCTCGCAATCGCATCTGGGGGCCCTGATGGGGCGCTCTTGGGGCGATCTGGGGCGCCTTGGTGGCTGTCATCGGGGCCTGCTGGGCCCCCTTTGGAGCTCTGTTGGGCCTTCTTGGGGCCACCGTGAGGCTTCCAACGCGCATCGGAAGCGAAGGGGCGAGACGGCCACCATCATAGATTTCCCGTTGGTTTTTGAAGGATTACGGCTTCTTGGGAAGGACCTAAAGGGTTTCCAACAACAGTTGGATCCGTCTTGTGGCCCTCTTGGGGTCTTTTTGAGGCATGTTGTTAGCTATCTGAGGCTATGTTGGGCCATCTCGAGCGACATTGGAGGCCATCTTAGGCTCTCTGGGGCCCTCTTGGAGCCATCTTTGGCCACGCAGGACCCTCTGACAACTCGCGGCCCCCACGGCCAGGTCCAGGGGAGGGGGTAGGGGGAGGGGATGATAATGATGATGATGCTGATGATGATGATGATGAAATTGATGGTGATGATGAGGACGACCAAGAAGAACATAATGATGAAGCTGTTGCTGGTGATGATGATGGTGATTCATGATTAGTATGGTGCCGGGAAAGTGAGGAGGAGGATCAGGAACAATAATGATGCAACATACGAGTCGTCCCTGGACGAGGAGGGGGAGGGCGAGGCGGATGATGGTGATGACGTCGGTGATGATGGTGATGGTGACGGGGATGATGCTGACGAGGGTGCTGATGATAGTGACCATGATGGTGATGGTGATGATGAGGATGGTGATGATGATGGGGATGACGACGAGGATGGAGACGATGATGTTGATGATGGTTGCCGTGATGATGATGGTGGTGGTGGTGGTGGTGAAGGCGAAGATGATGTTGCTGCTACTGTCGATACTGCTAATGACGATGCGGATTATCGTGATTGTGAAGATGACGTTGGCGATGTTGATGATGATGCGGATGGGCATGAGTGCGATGATGGTGATACATCAAAAGTGATCATCATGATGACGGTGCCGGTGGCGATGACGAGGACGGTGGTGATATGGGTGACGATGATGATGAGGACGGGGCTGTTCATGATGATTTGGATACTGCTGATAGCAATGACAGTTACGATGCTGACGGTGATGAATGTGATGATTATTTTGGTGATGATGACTGTGATGCTGATCGTGGCAACAATGATGGTGGTGCTATTACTTATGATGATGCTGATGCTGATGTCGGTGTTGGTGGTGATGCTGGTGATGATGATGATGACGATGACGACGATGATGATGATGATGCTGATGATGATGCTGCTTCTGATGATGATGCTGATGATGGTGATGATGATGCGGATGCTGATTTTGATGGTCATGATGATGACACTGATGATGCCGATGCGAATGGCGATGACGATGGCGGTGATGATGCTGTTGATTAGATGATGATGGCCGTGATGATGGTGATGATGCTGATTGGAAGGAGGAGGAGGCAGAGTGATTGGGGAAGGATAGTGTGGAGTATGGGGAGGTGGATGAGGATGGAACGGCGGAAGCGGCGGCAGTGGCGGAGGGGTGGGAGGAGGATGAGGGTGGAGGAGGAAGATGGTGATGTGCAGGAGGAGAGGCCAGAGGAGCAGGAGGATGCGGAGGCGTGGGGGGGAGGGTCGAGGAACAAAGAAGGATGAGTAAGAGACGAGGCCGGGCGGAAATGGGGCAGGGGAGGGAGACGGAGAAGAAACAGGAGGAGGAGGATGACGAGGATCAGGGAGGAAGGACACTTCGGTGGAGGGAAGAATGAGGAGCAGGAGAGAGGAACACAACCTGGAGGATGGGGAAGAGTGAATAAGGGAGGAGGATGAGGAGGAGGAGAAGCATGAGGAGGAGGAGGTGGAAGTGGAGAAGGAGGGGGAGGAAGACGAAGAGGATTCAAATTGCCCCGTGGGTTGATGGCTGTCCGCGAAGCCGAGCTGCCGCCCGCCGCTTCCTTGTGGAAGCGGCGGGCGAGCCTGGCCTCTCCAGGCAGCTGGAAGGGTTGGCACCTGCAGCACCCCGTCAATGTCAAGCTGATGTTTCCTGCCTGGCTGTCCTTCTCTGAGCTGGAAGGAACATGTCACCACAGGTGCTACACGTTTTCTTTTTGAGTCACTTTTACCGTTCTGCGGCGTTGCGGCCTCCTGGCGCCAGGTGTTGCAGCAGCCTCCGTGGCTCTCACTGCGCGGAGGTTCCCGTCCAACAGCAGTCGTCTGTCAAGGGTTCGCGGTCTGGGCGACCTCTTCGCCCTCTGAGCCTCTGTCTTTCAGGCCAGGGTTGGGCGGGACAGCTTCACCAGACCTCTGGCGAGTCGAACGCACATCCCGCCAGATTTTTTGTTTGTTTCTCTCTCTCTCTCTCGTTGTTCGGCGTCCAGAGGCCGTGTCTTGGCCCTTGGGACCATCACAAACGAGTCGGGAAGAGTTGCCGTTCCCGCGGAAGGCGCCGGAGACTCGCGCTCGCATCGGGCTCTCGGAGGTCTGGGGCAGCCTCGTCGCGACGTCGTTCTCAGAGTGGCGCTCGCGGCTCAGCCCTGACCATTCGCCTCTCCTTCCTCTCTCCTCCGCCCTCCTCGCGCCCGCTTCCACATTCCTCTCTCGATGGTGGCCCTGTGTCATCTCATTTCCAGACCACAGCTTGCCCTTAGCACACGGCGGTGCAGGCGTGGCGGTGCGCTGGGGAGGTCCGTCAGGCGGCAGGCGGGCGGTGCTGACGGCGCTGCAATTCAGGCTCAAAGTCAACCGTTTCCTTGCGTTCGAGGGGCTAGATTTCTGTGCTCTCACAAGGCAGCGTGGATGAATAGGCAGACAGACGGATGAATGGGCAGATGCATGCATGGGTCAGTGGGTTGATGGTCAGACGGGTGTGTGGCTGAGTGAGCGTATGAATGGATATACATACGGTGGTGGACGGAAAAGTGCAGTAGATTTATCGAACAGAGTCGAAGTCAAGCATGCAAACGAAATCGCACAGGCAAAACAGACTTGGAAACGCAGCGAGCGTTCGCAAATTGGCGCCTCGTAGTTTTCGCTTGGTGGAGGCGTCTGGAGACAGCAGTTTGGAAGTGGATCTCCCCTGCCGAAGCAGCGCGGGGATAGGTACTTCGACCAGTTGCAAGTGCAAGCATCTGAGCGGACGCGCAATGCGGTGCCACAGAAAGAGGCGAGAGGGGTGAACCAAACTGAGGATTGGGGCTGAGCAAGTAGTCCACTCAACCCCTGGGGAGGCGTCGTCCTCGACCTGGTGCCCAATCTCAGTCCTCTCGCGGCAACTGGATTCTGCAACGTAAGCAGGTGGATTTATTTGGTCGCAGTGGTGAGAGGAGACGTCGCGGCCCACTGCGTCCACCTACGACGGACCGCAGATTTGCGACTAGGGCATACGGTGCGTCGTAGCAGGTGTCGGTGTAGCCCGCCGCCCAGTGCAACGATTGTTGGATGCGGGCTCGAAGGTCAAGGATGCATGCGAGCGGCCATCAGATTGGTCAATAATCTGTGACCCAGGCGGGCGTCGCTGCCTGCATGAGCTCTGCGGGGATGCCGTGCTGCTGAATGGCGTCGGTGACCAGCTCGTTTGTCATGTGGTTGCGGTGCCCGGCGCCACCATGATCTCGCCGCCATCAATGCAGTCATTCTTCGTCTGGGCGACTGCGCACTCTTTCGTTGCGGCAGATGTCGGGCCTTGCGCTGACGGCCCAGCACATATCCACTCATACTACGATTGCGTGGGTGCCGCGCCGGGGGGCGGGGGCTGGGGGGGAGGGGGACGCAGTTCAGGATGTGCTAAGAGGTGGCAACGACCGCATGGTTGTCTACGAAGATTTTGCCCGACCGCCCAGCTGTGTTGACGAGGTGGTATCCAGCTTATTTCAACATCCCCTACCGTTCTCAGGTGCGTTGGCGGGAGGCTGAGGATGATGATGATGATGATGATGATGATGAGGAGGAGGAGGAGGGATGGAGAGTGGTGGAGATGAGGGAGGATGACGAGGAACAGGATGAGGAGTGAATATCAGGAGTTGGGGCAGCAGGGCTACGATGATACTGCTGCTGCTGCTGATGATGATGATGATGGTGATTATATGATGATGACGATAATTATGATGATGTTGATGCTGATGCTGATGTTGATGATGCTGTTGAGGTTGTTGATGATGGTGATTGTGATGATGCTGATGTTGATGATGATGATGATGATGATGATGATGATGATGATTCATCTGCTGATGCGGGTGATGATGCATCTTATGATGATGCATATTATGATGCTGCTGATGCTGATGATGACGATGATGATGAGACTGATGATGATGCTGCTGATGATGATGCTGATTATGATGATGATGCTGCTGATGATGATCATGATGCTGTAGAGGTTGATGATGGTGATTATGATGATGTTGTTGATGATGATGACGATGATGATATTGATGATGCTGCTGATGATGATGCTGATGATGCTGATGACGATGATGATGACGAGGATGATGATGCTGCTGCTGATGATGATGATGATGCTGATGATGCTGATGACGAGGAGGAGGTTGATGGTGATGATGGTGGTGTTGGTGGTTATGGTGGGTAAGGTTGCGGTGATGGGGATGCGAACGAGGAGTGCAGGAAGGTCCAGATAGGGCGACACGCGCCCGAGGCGTGATGGCGGTCCCGAAGCGCGGCGCTCTCAGGCAGCATCAGGGGGAGAAGGACCCGTATTTGTGCTGGCCTTCTTTCCGTTGCTCCTCGTTTTCGTTGGTTGTCGTCGCAGTCGACCCCCCTCCTGCTCCTCTAACCCCGTCCCTCCCCTCCCTCCTGGTCCACACGCACTCACATTCATCCGTCCTTCTTCCTCATGTCGAGGGCTCCTGTCTAGCGGGAGCCACGTACTAGCAGCAGCATTTGCATATGGCTTCCGCTTTGGCTCAAGACGCAGGTGCCCTACTCGCTTTCGTGTATACAGGTGTATGCCAATCTTTGACACACGTGCTATCTGCGAGGTGGGCATCCAACGTTTCCCGTTTACCATCTATCATATTTCCGTTGTGTTACGTGCGTGGGTACGACCTGCAATCGGCTGTTCGATTTGATCACAGAGTTGGCCTCACCGTCATGTGGTTGAGGCGCGATAGTCGCTTGATTACGGACTTTTGTTCTCCAATCCAGCCGCCCCTGCACATGCCCGATTGTTTAACGATAAGTTTAGCAGTGTACAGTTTGGATTGCTGGATGGTTGTGCTGCCTGGTGGCCCTAGCCCTGTGTACGGTGGCGTGCCACTGCTCGGTGTCCAGGGCGTCTAAGAGAGCCTCCGGTAGTATGCTATTGGCCTCGATGGAGGTTAATTCTTGTGTGAAGCGCTGATGCAACTGCTGCAAAGCCTTTTGTTGGACGTCAGTTCGCGTCAAGTAAGGTAGGTCACTGGCTGGGGGCTGTAGCTTGTAGATCCAGTCGTGGACTGCCCATTCGACCTCGTCCTTCTTCTCTTCTTCGTCCTCCAACTCTTGCTCTGTGTCGCCAAAAGGACACTCGCCACCAATGAAGAACTGTTGGCGGGCCTTGCTCTTCTTCTCCATTGGCCTCTTCCCTTTCTGGTGTTTGTTTGTTCGTTTTTTTGTTCGGGATGGCTTTTTCTACTATGAACGCGCTGCCTCGCTTGTATTGCGAATGTTCACTTCGGCGTTCTTTCCTCCGAGATCGTCCTCGGGTCTTCCGCCGCCTCAACTTTCTGAGCTTCGGTGATATTCTTGCCGCCTGCTGCTCTCCTGCTGTCTTCTGCAGCCCTATTGGGCTCTCGCGGCCTATGCTCCCCCCTGGCTTAGTTTGATCCTTCTCTCGTTCACCTGTTATGACTTCTTGTCGTTATCTGCAGTATGATCCGCCTCTGACTTTTTATTTTCCTCTGCTTTCTTACCATGTTCTTCTTCTTTGACATCCGCGGCTTTCTTAGCCCCCTTTGCCTCGTTATCCTCCTCTTCCTCCTCTCCCTTATTGCCCTCCTGTGCCTTACCGTTTGCATTTTGAAACCTCCGTTAGCTCCTCCTTTGCCGTTTTAGTTTTTATTGTTTGTATGACTCTTTTTGTTTTCTTATCATATTTTGCCTTCTTGTCATGGCTTAGATCCTTCTTGGCGTCCTCTTCCATGGCCACAGTCACCTGGACATCCAGGCCGACGACTTCGAGCAGTTCTTGCACTGTGGGGGGCGCGGTGGAGAGGTCGAAGACGCCGTCGTCGAACCCGTAGCTGGTAGCAGGCTCCTGCCCCCAGTGGCCCCGCATTATACGCCCTACTTGGTTCACGCTCGCAGTCGCCCGTCGTGGCCCCCGACGCATGCCCTTCGTAGCCCTGCTGTCGCCCTTCATGACCCTCTCGCTGCCCTTCGTGGCCCCCTTGCTGCCCTCAGTGGCCCCGCTGTCACTCGCCGCATCCGCAGTGCTCCTTGCGGGTTTCTGGCCGCGGCGATCGGCTTCGCTCCCACGGCCCGCAGCTTCTCCGGCGGGATCTGGGGGCCCGTTCGGGCGGAGCTCGCGCGCCCAGTCGTCCGGCTCCCGACGCGCTCTTCGGCTTCTCCTCCGCCCGTCGCCCAGGGCTGGCAGAGCGGCTTCCCTCCCCTCCTCTGCCCCATTTCTCCTCGTCCTTTTCCTCCTCTTTCCTCTGTATCCCTCCTTGTGGGCGAACGCACGAACTTGTCTTGCAAACAGGCTTTCTTTAATCGCTTCGCTCATCCCGCCGGCCCTCGAGCGCTCCATGGGGCCTCTTTGAAGCCTCTTGGGGGCCTCTTTGGAGCCTCCTAGGGGCCTCTTGGGGGCCCCTTGGCGGCCTCTTGGGGGTCTCTTGGGGCTCCTGGGCGGCGTCTTGGGGCCCCCTTGGGCCTCTTGCGGGGCTCTTGGGGGCCACTTGGGGCGGGGTAGTCGAGTGCACCCCCCTCGGAGGCCACGAACCTTCGTGAGGGGTGTCGGAAAAAAGGCTCTCAAAACCATCTCTGAGTAGACCTGCTTGGGCTGCGGTCGGGGTACTTTTCGCCGGGGGACCCCCAGGGGCCGCCCCTCGCGCGCGGACTAGAAATATTGTTAACCAGTTACCAGAGATCTTAGCACGCCTCTGGCCCGTTGGGGCGGCGAATTACACTACTTGGTGAGTGGAAGGGTGAGTTGACGTCACCGTGGTCAGGAGGACCTGGAGGAACTTCAACAATGATCGGGGGGAACGAGGCTGCAGGTATCCTGAGGAACATCCTCAGCTGCGCCTAGTCGACGGGGTCCAGGCATAAAGATGCTGGATATGTTTCTGCACCTCTGGAAGGTGCCCGCGGTGCCGCGCTCTAGTTGAGACGCCTCAGCATCGCTTTTGGTCGTGTGATTCGAATCTGGAGGTTCCGATGCGGTCGTGGATCGCGCAAATCACTAGAGTTTGCGCTGAGCCTGAGTTTTCTTGCCTCTGGTTTAGAGGCCTGCCGCCGCTTGCTGGTCACTGTGCTCATCTGCCTGCCAACGTGGAGTTGGTCTGGGACTGGGGTCGGCTGGCTGGGGGGGGCAGGGTCGATGGTGGAGCCTGGGGCATTGATGGCTCGGGAGGAAGGCACACTGACGACTGGCGCCTGTCCACTTAGGTGCTACTGGTCACTTGCATAGGCTCTTGATGGGCACTTTGTTCACGCCGAGGCAGTCTTCACCGCATTCAGAGCTGTACGATCTCATAATGTGGGCTCGCCGTTCTACTTGGATATTGTCGAGTGTATTGTGATTCTCTTCAAGCTGTGCAAGGTTCTCGGCGTCCCTCGGCGTCCAAGTTTGGGGCTCACATGTTGGATCTGCTGGTGGAGCTTCATCAGGTTCTGTGCGCGCGCGGTGGCTACCTGAATTTGATCTGGACGAGATCTGACCCGACGCAGGCCCACCGTCAACGTATTTTTGTTACCCCCTGTCGAGATGGACGTCCATTGTGCGGCTGGTGTTGTCGCCGAAGAAGCTGCTGCCCGCGGGCAGCGTCCGGGTTCCGACTTCTGGTGGGCACCGGGGGCCGAGGAGTGAGTTTCCGTCTGGTGTGATTTTGTGGCTGCTGGTGGTCCGAAGGGAAGTCCGTTCAGGTGTGAGCGAGAGGGCGAGCCTGTCCCCCGTCGTAAGGGCCAGTCCACAAGCCTCCCCACTGCATCATGGCGGCTTCGGGATGCGGGTCATGTGCCTCGGGTCTTTAGCGCCGCCGTGTGATGCAAGAGTTCCTGTCGCAGTTTCCCTTCGCGAGGAACGATTTCGGATTTTTGGTCTGCTCCTTGTGAGCAGCGTTTTCAAGTTGAGCGAAGAATCCAGGCCCTCCCAGTTCGTGTGCCCGTGCCGCTTGGAGAGTGGCCAGTCCCAGATGATGTTGATCCCTCCGGCTTCTGTTGAGGCGCGATGCACCACCCCATGGCGGCTTTATGTGACTTGTCCCATCAGCTTGCGGTGCAGCGAGGCGTTTTTTGTGAGAAGTGTGGGCGTTTTGTTACAGCCAATCCCCGTCGAACGCTGAAGAAGCACTGTGCGCCTCCAGCCAGAGCAGGGAAGAGGGTGCTGTCGCGCCTCTTCTAGGGAATGCTCCCCGAAGTCGGGTATTGCCTTTCCCAACCACTGGTTTCTGTTGTACGCGACCTCCCCAGAGGAGGGCGACGCTTTAGACAAACTTAGAATCAGAGTTCCTCACTCCTCTCGTCGTGCTCCTCCTCCTCATCCTCGTCCTTTCCCTCCTGTCTCTCGCCTCTCCTCTCCCCTTCCTCCTACGTCTCCTCCCTTCATCCAGCTGTCTGCGGCAAGTCCCGCCGCCGTGCCAGTCCAGCATGCCGAGTGGCGGTTATTCGAGGGGGGCACGGGAGGCCGCCGCGTGTACATCGGGTCTCGGTCTCCAAGGTTAGCAGCCTCTGGTCGATCGAAGAAAGTAGGTAAGGGAAGTCGGCAACATAGATCCGTAACTTCGGGAAGAGGATTGGCTCTGAGGTTTTGGGGGTCCCCTTGATGGGCGGTGGAGGGTCCTCGCTCTCGGCAGAGCGTCCGGGGCTCCTCGTGGGGGCTCGTGGGGCCGTCTTGGGGGTCCCCGTGGAGCCATCGGGGCGCCGGCAGGGTCCCTCGTGCTGGGGCCCTCTCGTCACCACCCACCAAACCACCCCAACCCAACCCGAAGGCCTCAATTTGCCCTCTATCTCCAGTTGGGGGGGGGTGGGGAGCACTGAAAAGACACATATGGAGCCCGTACCCCCCCCCCCAACCCGACATTGGGGTCTTCGGGTTGGGTTGGGGTGGTCTGGTAGGTGGTCATCTCGGTGGTCGTGTGGCTCTCTTGGGGGCTTCGGCGGCCGTCAGAGCGCCCTCTGGAGGTTCTTTCTCTGGGGCCGCTCGTGGGCCCTCTTGGCGCCCTCTTTTGGCCGCGCTGGTGCCGTCCTGGGCCATTTTGGGGGCCACCTTGGAGGCCGCTTGGGCTGTCTTGGGCTGGCGGAGGCCCCGCACGGCGAGAGCGCGATGATCTGTCAAACACGAGGGGGCAATCACTGGTTATGGCCCCCTCGGGCGATGCTGGAGGCTCGATTCGAGCCTGTGGGGCCATCCTGGAGGCCTCCTGGGCTGCCTCGGTGCCATCTTTGGGCCGTCGGGGGCCGTCACGGGGGCTTCTCTTGGGCCATCTTGGCGGCCTGGATGGCTTTCCCGACCGAGCTTGGACGACTTCGGGGGCCACAGGGAAGCGCCATGGCCGGCCAGGATCCCCAGTACCGCTTGCCCGACCCCCTATCCCTATCCCCATCCCTTTCGAGAGCCACACCAAATTACCCCGCCAGTTGGGGATACACCCTTCGAAACCCGAAGGGAATGTCCCCATCTAGGGGGGTAAATCGGCCAGTGGGGCCCAGGCCACGCCGCTGGGTATGGGGATCGGTTAAACGATTCTCAGATCCTTTGGGAGGAGGGGCGGTGCACGCGCCATTCTGTGAGGAGAGGGTGCTGGACTTCTTAGAAGACTACAGCAACCCTGCAAGGCAGCACTGGACATTCTTCCCCGCCTCGGCGTACCAGCAGGCAGGGTGGCGGATGGTGCCCTGGCGCTGGCCGATTGGCGTCAGCGTCCTTCCTCCTCCTCCACTTGCTGCCCAGCTTTTTCCCTTCCCTCTCTCGTCCTCATCCTAGGGGGCTTTTCTGTGGGAGGCTCCACAGGCCGCATCCTTGTCCTCCGCCTTCCCCGTTGCGTGATCGGGGGCGGTCAAAGGGGGTCGACAAAGGTGCGCCTTTCGTGCACTGTCGGGGCCCTAAGGGGGGCCCCTTGGGCCCAAAAGGCGGCCCAAAAGGGGCACGAACTGTGCGCGATTCTTCCCCCTCCCATTTATCACCCTCCCGCAAAGCACTGCTCAATCAGTGTTTGCAGCGATGGTTGTTGAATGCTCCTGGGGTCGTGCGAGTTCAGAGTCAGGGGCTCGAGAAGGCCTAGTCATTCTCAGGGAGCGTTCGCACGCCACCATCTCCGTTGAGCGCATTTGTTGGGAGTCCTTTCGTTGTTGGAATGCTTGCGGGCGCTGTGACGTCCGCGAAGATTTGGTGTCCAGGCGCGTGCACCGCCGCCAATTTTTGTTGCTCCTCTATCTCTCTCTCTCTCTCTTTACCTTTCTCTTTCTCTCTCTGGGCTCCTTCGTCCAGATCTTCCATCATGCTGTTCCTATATGTGCGTATGGATGTCTCCAGCTCCAACACTCGAGATCTTCCGATCCTGTGCGCAGTTTCGCGGCTGCTCCCACGGACTGGCCATGAACGCATGCATGTGCAGAATTTGTCATTCGTATCAATCCCTGGATCAGCAAGTGTTCATTCAATCATAGCTCCCAGGTCGACTTGGCAGCCGGCCAGACGAACCCGTCCCAGCAGCAGACTAAGCAGCAGCCGAATGGCCGTCGCTTGCCCCGCAAGAGTGCCATGATCCAAGGCGCACCCCGCGAATCACCGCCGCCCCCTTGACGTCCACGTGTCGAACAAAGCGGTGCCGGCATGCGCCGAGAATGGAAGAGCCCTCGGCCCGCATGTCGGTACGATCGGAATGGATGCGGAAACATGGTATGAACACCGACAGCAGTTTATGTCGATTTCGAACAGGATGATTCGTTTTCGGTGTCGCCGCGGACTTTGTCCACTGACGACGAAGAGCGCCTGCCCACCAGCGGTCGCTGTCGATTCTGGCCAACATTTGCTGTTGGGCATCGTGCCCATTTTCTGCGTACCATTTTCTCCGTACGGCAGGTTCGCGTCGTGCCGACCAGCGGCGACCCCAGCGCGTGCATTTAACGTTGAACGACGCCTGTGGCCCAGAATCGGCCCATCCTTGAACGATCTGGCCTGTTTGAAAGGGCCGATCGTTCCAGGTTGAACCATCCCCGCGGTGTCAGGAACGAATGCCGAGGTCGACACGACGCGAACCTGCCGTACCCATTTTCTCAGTTCTGGGCGTGCCAGACATGGCGAACGAGCTGTGTCAGCACGTGCCGAGCTCGCAGTCTTTTGTCCTGGTGGGGACTTGAGGAAGAGATGGCAACACGATGCCCTGGGCCATCTGTATTTTTTTTTTTGCTTGTCCTTTTCATCCCGTGGCGACAGCAAGCGTGACCAGGGGGGGGAGGGAGGGAGGGGTCGGTCGCGTCTCGATTCGCGAGAGCACCGTCGGGCAATGTCCACGAACGGCTCCTTCCCACAGTGCGCTGGCGCGAGTCGTGGCGCGACCCTGGGGAGGGGGGGAGGGGGGGAGCTGGGCCTGTCGCGTGCCTTGCACCGCGAGCAATGAAACACGGGTTCCCAGGACGTTGCCCGGGGCCGCCCTGGAATTCCGAGGACACCACGCGCGCTCTGGGAGTCAGGCGGGGGGGGTCGTTCGGCTGGCTTCGTTCGACGTGGTCTGGAGGGTCGGGTCACACACAGCTCTGGGTCCCCGCTGGGGGGGGAAACGCAGGATAAAGCCCGATCTGTCTATGGTGACTCAGGCAGTGGAGAGTCTGTACACCGACCAGCTCAAGCCTTTCGGTCGGCTCCTTCGCAAGCGGGTCGCGGAGCACGCGATCGGCGTCCTGGATGGCACCTCACCCGCCGCACGGCTCCCCGAGCAGCTCCCGAACGTGGACGCGAAGCATCTGGAGACAGTGTGCAGGACAAGCGCCGGGTTCCATGTGAAGTCCGAAGAAGGTTCGGCGGCTACAAAGGGTGTGGTTACGCCGGGGTGTGGTTGCGATCGGCGCCGTTGGGGCCCAGGGGCACGACACTGTCATCGTCGGGCCTCCTCGGGGCGCGGCGGAGAGCTCGATCGAGGTCCCCGCCCGCCCCCCAGGGTGTCCCCCAGGGTGCCGGTTGTAAACCACACCTTGTGCAAACCACACCCTTCGGAGTCGCCGAAAGGTGGGGATTGGTCTGTTGTCATCGTGGGACGGTCGCAGCCCTTCGTTGACATCTACTGCGGCAGTGACGTGTACCCTGCAGAGCTGTGGGCGGCGGCGGCAGCGTATTTCGAGGGCCTTCCGGAGGAGCAGATGCAGCTGCCGGGTGGCCGGTACTCCTGCGCCCAGGCGCTTCTGCGCCGCAGGGCACCCTTCCTCTCGGGCTACACCCTCGGCCAGGCCTGTCACATCGTGGAGTTGGGCATCGCGCTGCACAAGATCTTGGGGTATTCGAATGGCTCCGTGGTGCCGTACATCTTCGGTAGCAAATCGTGGGAGCCTTGTTCGTCCTCGTCAGTCCGCCTTTCGAGTGCGTCAGCTTGCGCTGGCGTCTGGTAATCGATGAGAGGGCGCCGATCCAGCGTCGATTCAGCGTCGATTGGGGCCGATGAGCGTCGGTCAGCGCCGAGTCGCGAGAGGCAGCGAGATGGCATGGGAGGCTCCTGGGCGTTGCCACCGAATACAGCCGCTCCCAGTCGATGGTGAAGGAGCAGTGCGCCGTCTTTCAGCAGTGCGCCGGTGACGCCGCCGGCGGCGCCCCGCCCCCGGCCTGCTGGGGCCGCGCGCGCCAGTGCCTGCGGGAGATCCTGGAGGCGGCCGCCGCGGAGGCCAACGCTGCCGTCGGGGCCGTGCCGCTGTCCAACGTGAAGCGCCTCTTCCGCTCCCGTTACGACCTGGACCTCAGCGAGTCGGGCGTTGCGTGATGGGGGGGCGCCACACGGGGGGGTCGAGGAGAGGTGCACCTCTTGCGTCCTGAAAATGGGGGCCCCAGGGGGACCCCCGCTGGGGCCCCAAAGGGGCGCGAGAGGTGCACGCTCCTCCCCCGCCCCCCGCCCCCCACCCCCATGAAGCAACGCCCGAGCGAGACGGCCCTGGGGTACTCCAAGCTCTCCGAGCTGCTGCAGGACCCGCGCTTCTCCGACGTGTGCACCGTCCAGCTGGAGGCCCAGGGCTACGCGGTGAAGCAGGCCCTCCCGCCGGCCGGCGGGGCGCTCCTCGAGCTGGAGGCGGCCGGCGCCGAGCCCCCGGGGCAGCCGCGCCGCGTCGTCTTCGCGGCGCCGTCCGGCGAGCAGCTCTGCCTGGAGGACCCGTGGCCGCCCCTTCAAGGAGGGGAGGCGCGGCCACACTCGCAGAGGGAGGCCCTCTCAGAAGCACCCCTCCTCCTCCTCCTCCTCCTCCTCCTCCTCCTCCTCCTCCTCCTCCTCCTCCTTCGGCCAAGAGGTGCGGCCTGGGCGCGGGGAGACCCCAAGGGCACCTCCTGGTCTGAGGTGAACCGCCGTTGACGATCACGGAGGCAAGGCCCGCGGCTTCCCGCCTGCAACCTCTTGGTTGCAGTGCTTTGTGCCGCGGGCATATTGTTGCCGTGCTTGTGAGGGCGCGGGCGCTGGGCAACGCTCCGTGTATTGTCTCTTGGGCGCCGATCTCGTACCCCCGTGCGCTATTTTGGCGCGGGGTGTAGGGCGGTCCTTGGTTTGCTTTCTTTTTCTTGATTTCCTCCCTAAGGCACAGCGTTTCTGGCGCTATTGGGAGTTAGTCAAGGAAAGGATGCCGGAGGTCAGGTCCCAGCTTGTGTCCGTGATTCCCCTTCTTTGCGCGTGTGTCCTTGGTGTTGGCCGTTGGCCACTGTGGCCGTTGGCCAGGGCACGTTGGCCCGCACTTTGCTGAGCGCCACGGTTTTGTTCTGCCGATTTGGGCCTGCAACGCTCCTCCTCCTCCTCCTCCTCCTCCTCCTCCTCGTCCTCGTCCTCGTCCTCCTCCTCCTCCTCCTCCTCCTCCTCCTCTTCCCCCTCCGTTTCCCCCTCCTCCGTCTCCCCCTCCCCCCTCCCCCTCTTTCTCTTCTCTTCCTCCTCCTCCTCCTCCTCCTCCGCCTCCTCCTCCTCCTCCTCCTCCTCCTCCTCCTCCTCCTCCTCCTCCTCAGGCGCTGGCCTTGCCTGTAGATGCAGGGCTGGCGTCTTCTCAGGAGCAGCCTTTTTCTGAGATGCCTTCCCCCCATCCCCCTCCCCCCCTGCGCGCGCTGGCAGCCGGAGGACCCGTCGCCGTGCCACGCGGAAGGGAGGCGGCTGGACTTCTGCATGCCGCTGCCGACGCCGCTGCAGTCGCCAGGCGTGCCGCCCAGCACCACCGTGCGGAAGTGGACGGCGAGTGGGTCGTGCGAGCCGTGCCGGCTGGTCTTCTGCCCGGACGAGCCCCAGCATGGCCATGAAGCACGCGGGTCCTGAGGGACGCGGGTCTTTCATAGGAGGGACAAGTACCAATTCCGCTGCTCGTCCTGGAGAGCCCTCGTCGCCACGGCTGGACTCGCCCCGAAATTCTAGGCGCATCGCGTATCCCCACCAGCCTTCGGACAGCGTTCGGCATTTTCGCTTCGCTTGCGATCAAACAAGTATCCCCACCAGCCCATCCAGAAGCGATCACAGGAAGGAAGGAAGGAAGGAAGGAACAGACGAGGACACGGGGGATGAGGAGGCGGCCTTTGTTTGCGGATGTGTTGCGGTGGGAGATTCTTGGACGATTCTTGTGGACATTTGGGGCCCCGTTGGGGTCCCCGTGTCGCTTCTTCTGGCACTCTGGGGGCCCTCTTGGTGCTCTTTTGGGGAGTCTCGGGGCCCTCTGGGGGCTCTTCGGGGGGTCTGGGGCCCTCGTGGGACGGTCTTGGGCGTGATAGCCCACAAAACAGAATCAGCTTTATTCAGCCTTCCCCATCGGACGCCGACGCTCTTGGCCCTTCTTCAGGCTCTCTTGGACCATCTTAGGACCGCCTTGAGGCTTCACGAACCAATCGGAAACGAAATGGCGAGAAGGCAACACGTACTGATGTTTCTCCTTTTGGCCCCTTGCGGGGTGCCTTGGAAGGCTTGGAAGGCACTTGTAACCGTCTCCGGGCGGTCTGGGGACCTCTTGGAGGTATGTCGGGGGCTATCGTAAGCCACCTTGGAGTAGCATGGATCTTGGAAGCCATCGTGCAGCAGCTGGGGCCCTTTTGGCGCCGTCTCGGGTAATCTTGGGCGCTCTATAACCCCTGTGGCTCCCCCCGTCCAGGCCCAGGGGAGGGGGTAGGAGGGGAAGGAGGGGTTTTTGGAAGAGGGAAAGCACAACTCGTCAGGCCACCTTCGTCCAACACCGGGCTGGTGGGATTCTGGTCACGGCGCACGCCCGGCAACCTCCAGGGAGCAGCGGCATCGGTGCCCCTCTGCGCCCCCACGTCGTCCCGAGGCTCCCGGGGCCCTCGGGGCTCTCCGCGGCAGCCCGGGGCTCCCACGAAACAGCCCGGGATGCAGACGCCCGCGGTCCCGGGGGCAGGAGGAGGAGGAGGAGGAGGAGGAGGAGGAGGAGGAGGAGGAGGAGGAGGAGGAGGAGGAGGAGGAGGAGGAGGAGGAGGAGGAGGAGGAGGAGGAGGAGGAGGAGGAGGAGGGGGAGGAGGAGGAGGAAAGGAGGAGGAGGAGGAGGAGGAGGAGGAGGAGAGGAGGAGGAGGAGGAGGAGGAGAGGAGGGGGAGGGGGAGGGGGAGGAGGAGGGAGGAGGAGGAGGAGGAGGAGGAGGAGGAGGAGGAGGAGGAGGAGGAGGAGGAGGAGGAGGAGGAGGAGGAGGAGGAGGAGGAGGAGGAGGAGGAGGAGGGAGAGGAGGAGGAGGAGGAGGAGGAGGAGGAGGAGGGTGGAGGTGGAGGTGGAGGAGGAGAGGAGGAGGAGGAGGAGGAGGACGGAGGAGGAGGAGGGAGGAGGGGGAGGAGGGAGGAGGAGGGAGGAGGGGGAGGAGGAGGAGGAGGAGGAGGAGGAGGAGGAGGGAGAGGAGGAGGAGGAGGAGGGGGAGGGGGAGGGGGGGAGGGGGGGAGGAGGGAGGAGGAGGAGGAGCGGAGGGGAGGAGGAGGAGGAGGAGGAGGAGGCGGAGGAGGAGGAGGAGAGGAGGAGGAGGAGGAGGAGGAGGAGGAGGAGGAGGAGGAGGAGGAGGAGAGGAGGAGGAGGAGGGGAGGGGGAGGAGGAGGAGAGGAGGCGGAGGAGGAGGAGGAGGAGGAGGAGGAGGAGGAGGAGGAGGAGAGGAGGAGGAGGAGGAGGAGGAGGAGGAGGAGGAGGAGGAGGAGGAGGAGAGGAGGAGGAGGAGGAGGAGGAGGAGGAGGAGGAGGAGGAGGAGGAGGAGAGGAGGTAGAGGAGGAGGAGGAGGAGGAGGGAGAGGAGGAGGAGGAGAGGAAGGGGGAGGGGGAGGGGAGGGGGAGGGGGAGGAGGAGGAGGAGGAGGGAGGAGGAGGAGGAGGAGGAGGAGGAGGGAGGAGGAGGAGGAGGCGGAGGAGGAGGAGATGGAGGAGGAGGAGGAGGAGGAGATGGAGGAGGAGGAGGAGGAGGAGGAGGAGGAGGCCCGCGGCCACGGCCCGTGCCCCGGCGGGAGCCGGGGCCCGCCTGCTCCATGCCCACGGCAGCCGCTCACGCCGGGGGCCGCGGGCCTCTTCCAGGCCTCCACGCCCCTGCCGTCGCCGGGCGTCGCCGCCCCCGCGCAGCAGCGGTGGTGCCCCGGCGAGCCGCTGTGCCTGGAGGATCAGGGGCACAAGAAACACACAGACACAATTAATCCTCGATTCCCCAGAACATATGGGAAGATATGGGAAGAGGGGGGGAAGACAGAAACCCAGAAAATATAGGAAAGTATGGGGAATCTGTTTATTTGTGTGTATTTATTTGTGTGTTCTGGGGCCCCTTCAGAGGAGGCGGGGCTCTTCGCGCAGGGCTCGCGGCTGCCGGAGCTCACGCCGATCCCCTCGCCGGGCATCCCGCCGAGCGCGATGGTCCGCAGGTGCCAAGGGGGGGAGAGGTAGGCACAGGCGCAGGTGGTGCACGCTGGTCCTCGTGGGCCTCGACGTGTCTGGGGAGCTAATTAGGGGAGGTGCGAGGGGCAGAGGACCACCCGGAAGGACATGCCGGCATCTGTGCCGATTCGTGTGTGCCTCCCCGCGGCCGCCCACCCGCCCCGCTTCCACCCCCTGTTGCTGGCGGCAATTCGCGCCTGCCGCCTCCTGGACCGTTCGAAGGCGCGTGCGTGCTGCCTCTGCCGCTCTGCGACGTAAAATTGCGTGTGTGTGTGTGTGTGTGTGACTGTGTGTGTGTGTGCCTCCCTCGGCACCGTTCTGAGCCGAGCAAGAGGCCTTGATGCCCATACGGCCCAAGCTTCCCAAGACTTCCGCTTGCTCCACGCAGGCTGCAGAGACGAGGGCCGCCAGATCCTCCTGCAAATCCTGGGCCGTGTCCCGAGCCACTCCTATCGTGCCATCGGCCTGAGCGCTTTTTTGCTGCGACCTCGGGGGCCGCTCTCGTTTCCATTTCGTCTTGCAGCGCAGGCGGGGCGAAGACAAGACCAGGGACACCGAGCACAACACGACAGCGGAAAACACTGCTTGGATCGAGCCCTGATCCTATCACGAGTAACCATAAGTATAAAATGCAATACTTAATAATACACGCAAACACAAACACTATACTTCATACTACACGCAAGCGCAAACATCATACACAATACATACGAAGTAAAGAAGCGCACGCAACACACCATCATTTTTGACAAGTGCTAGAACTGAACCCCAAAAACGCTCCGAGGTGGCACGGCGGGGAGGCGCGCCGCGCGGGCCGCACGCCCGTGGGCGAGCCGGCGCCCCCGGGCGAGCCGGCGCCCCTGCTGCCCGCGACGCCCTCGGGGTCCTGGCGCTGCGCGCCCGTGCAGGCCGGCACGCCGGGCTGCGCGCCGCGGCCCCGCGGCGCCGCGCTGCGCTCCCCGTCGGTGCCCGGGGACGCCGCCTCGCTGGCGGGGGAGGAGCCAGAGACCGAGCGCACTGGGAAAAGCACGGCGGGGGTGTTTCGCTAATTATGTTCGGCCTCTCTCTCTATATATTATATATATATATATATTATATATATTATATATATATATATATATATAGGGGCACGCCCAGCCCAGGCTATTGTCGGCCTCCATATATAGGGGCTATCTTCGAGTTGCAGAACCAGCCCAGGCTCCGCCTGGTCCTTTCTGGTGATTCATCATAACCGAACGAATCGCATAGCTTCGCTGGCGATGAATCCTTCAGGTTTCTGACCTATCAGCTTCCGACGGTAGGGTATTGGCCTACCGTGGCAATGACGGGTAACGGGAGACCGAGCGAACTGAAGAAAGCACGGCGGAGGTGTTTCGCTATGTTCGGCTTCTATAGGGGCACTCGCCGGTCCCCAGGACCGTCAGAAGACGACTCAGGATGAAAGACCGGTCCTGGGGAAGGGGTCGAAAGTTCCCGGGACCCCGTATCGAAACAATCACGACGTCGGATCTCTGGGGAGTCGGGACTCGTTTCGATTCTTCCGATTCGATTCGATTCGAGTTCGATTTGGATTCCGATGCCCAGTCAATTCGACTCTGGATTCCGAGTTGGATGCCGATTTTCTCAGTGGGGCATCACTTCTCCGCCGCTGTCTGCGGCTTCGACTCCTCCCGCCGTAGCTGCCGATTTCCGCCGATTCGATTAATTTTGATCGCCGATTCGACTTATCGATTCGACTTCGGGCTCTCCCGGGAGTCCCTCCAGTCGGGGAGCAGGCAACGAGACAGAAGCATCAGGTCTTTTCTCGGAGGTCCGCGCGGGCGTCTCGGATCGGCGCTGGAGCCCCCCTCGGCGGCGTCTCCGGCGCCGCCCCTGGCGCGCTCCGCGCGTCCAGGAGGGGGGGGTCCAGCGCCGCTCCGAGAAGTCCGCGCGGACCTCCGAGTGTGCAGGCTTGTGTCCTCGTTCGGTCCTCTGTCGGCGCCTCCCAGATGGGGTCCGAGCAGGTGCGGCTCGGAGGATCGCGCCGCATCGCCGATGCATCAACGATGCGGGCTCGGTTTTCTCCACACCGACGTCGCCGATGCATGGCCGGCGTCGTCGATACATCGGCGATGCATCGGTGATGCACCGTCGATGCTGGCCGACCCCTCGGCCCCATCCACTCCGACCTCATCTGGGATGCCTCTTGCCCCGGGGGTGGAGGCAACGGCATGGCTCTCGGGGGTCAAGGGCAGGGGGGCGCCTAAACAGTTTCGATTCTGCATTCTTGCGTTGCGGTGAAACCCCGAAGGGTCTTTAGTGCTGCGCCCTCCCTTCGGGGGTTTCGTGCTGTCTGGGACTCTATCGATGACCCCTCGGGGTCAGCACGTCTGCTTCCTGCCGCCTGCCTCCTGCACGGGGAAGCGTGGCCACGGCAGTCCGCGAAGCACGCTCCAGCGTGGAGCGAGACGGTCCCCGCTCGAGCACTCCGGCACGCACGAGCTGGTCGCAGCAGCAGTGGTCACAACAATACAGTCGGGGCGTTGAAGAAGGAACCCTTTTCGTTGGGGAGGGGCTCCGTGTTCCTTGATAGTTTCACAGCTTGCCTTAGGTTTTCCTTGGGTTTCCGATGGGAAATCGAACCTTCACTGATGGGAAAAAGGGGCCTCGTTCCTTATTTAGGGTTCCTTAGGTCAACGCGCTGACTGTAGCCTGTTTGCACCGTGACTGTCATTGTCACGCCGTTGCTCCTCGAAGGGGGGGGTCGCCCCTGGGAGCCTGTGCAGCGGCCCGTCGATCGGGATACGGATCGCCGATTCCAGGGTTGAGTCGGGCATGTCCCTCTACAGGGGGAATGTTCAAGAACAGTAAGAGATAGGGGGTAATTTTTCGTGCTCTTCTGACTGTGTTTGATTGTGTGGATTCTTTTCTAAGGCATCCACCTGTAGGAGGACATGCCCGACCTCATTCCAGGGCAAGGCCCCCCCCGCCTCCCGGAGGAGCCCTGAGCCAGCCCCCCCACCTTTAGAATCTCAAAAACGCCATAAACATAAACTCTGGACGCTCCGCGCGGATTTCTGGGATCCGCGCTGGGGCCCTTCTGGCGGCGCCTCCGGCGAGGCCCCGGCGCGCTACACCGCGGATCCAGGACATCCGCGCGGACCTCCAACAGTTTCTGCTTATGGCGTGTTTTGTTCGTCCATCGTCGGCCGCGGCGGAGTCGTCAGTGTCGCTGTCGTCGTCGTCGTCGTCGTCGTCGTCGTCGTCGTCGTCGTCGTCGTCCTCCTCGTCGTCGTCGTCGACCTTGTCGTTCCCCGCTAGGAGGTCGAGCACTCGGCGGCCGACAGCACGGCCGACCCCCTCAGCTCCGCCGCCACGGGCTGCTCGTCCTCGGCCAGCCTCGACGCCGCCTCGGAGCACTCCGAGGGCGACGAGCCCCTGCGGCTCCCCATGAAGGTGGCGCGCTCGGCGGCGCGGCGGTAGCAGCTCGCGGGAGCCTCCTCCTCCTCCTCCTCCTCCTCCTCCTGCTCGGGCGGCGAGCGAGGGGGGGGAGGCGAGAGGGAGAAGGCCTGCCCAGAGGGCGGCAGAGCTTCTCGGGAGCCCTCGGGCCTGCTGCGAGGTGTGCGGTGTCTTCGGGGAGGGCGCCGCAGATTTCTCGGAGGGCCCCGGGGGGCGTTCGAGCCTCCTGAGCAGGCCCGCCCCTCCTCGCCTTCCCCCCGGGCGCTCCGCTGGATGCCGTCGCTTAGAGTGCACTCGCGTGCGCTATAGCGTCTGGCAGTGGACGAGAGAGTGCCGATCCTTGGCGTCGACCCTTCGCGCGCCGGTCTCGGCGCCGGTCTTGGCGCCGACGCCGAGTCGGCGTCGGTCGGCGCCGGCTCGCAGCGAGCCGGCCAGAGGGCCACGCGGGGAGGCCCCCCACGCGCTGCCACCGACGAGAGGTGGCGCTCGGCGGCGCGCCCGCCGGGGAGGCGAGCCCCTGCGGCGGGGGCCCGAGGGCTATCCGGCCCTTCTGCGCCGGGGAGCCGCTCACGCTGGAGGTCGGCGGCGCGCCAAAGGGGGTAATTAGGGGGAGGGGGTAATTAGGGGGAGCGGGGGAGGGGGGAAGGCTTGGTGGGGGGAGAGGGGGGAGGGCCTAGGCAGCACCTGAGGTCCTTAGCAGCACCTAAGCACCAGGGGAGGGCTCCTTAGCCTATAAGGAGCCCTCCCCCCTCCCCCCACCCCCTCTTCTGGCGCGCTGCCAGTTGGAGGACGCGGGCGAGCTGCCGGGCCCGGCGGCGCCGCCGCGCGGGGGGCAGGACCGCGCCGGGCCCGCGGGAGCTCTGCGCGGGCTCAGCGCCGCGGGGGGGCTCGGGGGCCTCCCGCGGCGGGGTCGGGCGAAAGGGGGGGATTGGGAAAGGGGGGGTTACGAAATTTGCTGCATGCAGCTGGTTTCGGCCCCACCGAGGGGCCCATTCCTCGATACATGGGCGCCTCTGGCGCCGGGAGGCGCCGGGGAAATCAGCTACGCGAGCTGATTCTCAAGCCCCCCCTTTGCTATCCCCCCCTTTCGCCCGACCCGACAGGTGGGGTCGGGGCGGGGTGTCGAGCAGTGGCGAAGCGCCCTGGCCTGCCACCAGGGAGTGTGCTCATAAGAGCATGCCGCGGTTAATCGCGGGGCGGTCTTCGGCCAGAGGTGAGCGTCACCCTGCGCGGGAGTGGCCTTCGGTGCGGTCCCAGTGGGGCCCCCCCCGATCGCCGACCGCGCTTCGGCAGTGGCGTCTTGCGCGCTCGTGTTCGGTCGCCCGCGGCCCCGAAATGGCCGCGCGCCAAAGGCCACTCTTACCCAGAGTCACTCTTGCGTGTAGCCGAGTTCTTAGACTCTGTTTAGCTGAGACTGTCTTGTTTCCACACATCGGGCTCATGTTCTGAGAACACTGTTTGGTTCTCAGGACATTTTTGGGGTTCTGCGAAAATGTCTTGGTAGGCCGATCGAATGCCGGGACGGTCGGTCGCTGCTCAAGGTTGGGATCGGAGGATCGCGCCGCGTCGCCGATGCATCGGCGGTGCGGCTCAATGTGGAGCCCGATTTGTTCTCCGCGCCGACGCGGCCGACAGGACTCGCCACGAAACCCGCAAAGCTAAACAGCTGTTCGAGTAGGGGATCGACTACAGAACTGATCTACCTTCAAAAAAACTGCTTTTCTCGTCGAATCTGCGGACGCATGGTCAGATTTCTCAGCAGATCGGCGCACATCCTACGCATGCGTCGTAGATATTCGATGGGGAAGATCGATTGTGGGGGCAATCCACCCCGTAGTCGATCCCCTACGCGAGGGGCGGGCCCCGGGGTCCAGGCCCCCGCTGTGCACGGCAAGGGGCTCCGGGCCTCCCGCGGGGGGTCCGAGCAGGCGGGGTCGGCGGAGCGCCGCCGCACCGCGAGGTGGCCGTTCCCTTAAGCATTGCGTTGCCGATCGGCGTGGGCCCTCGCACCCCCCCCTCCCTCCTCCCTCCTCCCTCCTCATCCCTCCTCCCTCCTCCCTCCTCCCTCCTCTCTCCTCCCATCACTCCTCCCTCTCCTCCTCTCTCCCCCTCCCTCCTCCTCTCCTTCCTCCCCCTCCTCCTCCTCCTCCTCCTCCTCCTCCTCCTCCTCCTCCTCCTCCTCCCCTCCTCCTCCCTCCCCCCCTCCTCCTCCTCCTCCTCCTCCCCCTCCTCCCCCCCCCATCATGGAGCAGATCTTGGCTGTTTCTGGCCCCCGTCTCGAGCATGTGGAGCCTCCCCCACAGGGCGCACTGCTGCAAGCAGCGGCATCAAGCAGAGGTCCAGAGCCAGACCCCCCTCCCTCCCCCCCTTCCGCCCAATGTCGAGGCGCGGAATAAGAAAACGTTCGCCAGTGCATCGGCGGTGCGGCTCGATGTGAAGCTCGACCTTCTCCACGCCGATCTCGCCTGGCGCTGGTGCCTCGGCGACGTTGGCGGTGCGTCAGCGAATGCATCGGCAGCTTCGGATGCAACTCCTGGCAGGTCAAATTCTGACTTTGCCGCTTGCCCTGGTCTGAAAGCTGGCTTAATCGGGCTCAATTCTTCTTACTCCGCCTCGATCCCGCTTATTCCAGCTGAATCTCGCTTAATCCGCGGCCGGATCCGGCGTAACAGCCCCCAGCGGAGCTGCATCCTCCTTGACTTGTCCGGCGAAGACCTTCCAGTAGTTCTTTCCTGAGGCAGCGCCGCCGCCTCCTCCTCCTCCTCCTCCTCCTCCTCCTCCTCCTCTGCGACCTTCTGCCCCGTCTCATCGGACTCGCTTTGGCAGGCCCCCCGAGGACTGGCCGACGCCGCTCGTGGTGCGCAACACGTTCCTCCAGGCGCCGACGGCGCCGCCCACGCCGGCTGGCGCAGCGGCGGCCGCGCGGGCCAGGTCCCTGCCCCGGGACAGGTCGGCGGCTGCAACATGGGGCGGACTGCCCAGGGTTCCGAGGCTCGCAGGAGGAGAAGGTACCTATCCCTCAGTATCCTTTCAACGATCCCCATCCCCATCCCCTTTCGAGACCTCCACCAAATTGCCACCCCAGTTGGGGATGCACCCCTCAAAACCCGAAGGGAACGGCCCATATCTCCATCGAGGGGGGTAAATCGGCCAGTGGGGCCCAGGCCACGCCGCTGGGGATGGCAGGGGGATCGGTCCAACGATACTCGATACCTCTACCCTCCGCCCGCTCTCCCCTGTCTGGGCCTCCTGGGAGGCTCTCGTCGCCACCGATTCGCCTCGAAGTTCTGGTCAGAACGCACCCCGGGAGAGGTCTCGGCAGCAGCGGCATCGGCACCCTGTGATTTCCCCAGAGTCGGGGGTTTATCTACAGATCCCGCCTGGGGGATCGAGCCTCGGGGGCCCCGGCAGGCGGTGGACACGGATGCGCTGGGGCCCTGGGGAGGCCAGCTCTATCCACGTCCACCCCCTGCCGAGGCCCCCGGGGATCCATCCCCCAGGCGGTTGTCGTGGGTTATATTTCAGGAGGGGAAAAACACACAGACACAATTGATCGTCGATTTCCAAGAAAATATGGAAAAATATGGGAAGTGGTGGGGAAGACAAAAAACAAGAAAATATATGAAAATATGGGGAATCTTTTTATTTGTGTGTATTTATTTGTGTGTCCCAGTTTCCCTCGCGAGGGGGTGCATCGCGCGTGCCCACGCCTTCGACGAGGCCCCCGGCGAGTGCGCGTCATGCCCGCCCCCGAGCAAGTCATCTAAGCTTACGTCGGGCCTGTCCCTCTGCAGGAGGAATATTCAAAAATAGCTGGAAAATGTACAGGGAACGGTTTTTCGAGTGTTCTTGGCTACTTGGGGCATTTTTTGAGTATTTGATTTTTCGTCCAAAATCTTCCTTTAGGGGGACATGTCGACCTAAATCTAAGCCTCCCGAGTACATGGGGTCAGAGGATCGCGCCACATCGCCGATGCATCGGCGATGCGGGTCGATGTGGAGACGGATTTTCGCCGCGCCGACGCGGCCGATGCATCGGCGACGTCGTCGATGCATCGCCGATGTAGCGGTGATGCACTGGAGTTGTGGCGCGATCCTCCGACCCCATCTGAGACCCCATTTGGGAGGCCTAGAGGTTGACACCAACACCAATATCGGCGGTGTGCCTCCACCGAGGGAAGAAGGTCCCGATCTCGGTGATGGTGGTAACACCCCTGGCTTCCAAGGAGGCCGAAATATTGCCACCAACACCGAAATCTGGGATCGTCTTCTCCTGTGGAGGCAACCCCCTGTGTTGGTGCTGGTGCCCATTTCCAGGCCTCCAACATCTCCAGTCACGCCCCGCCCCGGGCCCTCCGCTCCTCTTGCCTCCGCCGACGCATGGGGTCCGAGCGGCTCGGCGGCTGGGACGCCGCCTCGCCCCGCGCCACGCGGCACCCGCCGCGCTCCCCGGCGGGCGCGCGCCGCGAGGCCGAAGGGATGGGGACGCGACACCACCCACCACCACCCACCATCACCACCACCACCACCACCACCACCACCACCACCACCACCACCACCACCACCACCACCACCACCACCACCACCCACCACCACCCACTACCACCACCCACCACCCACCACCACCACCACCCACCACCACCACCCACCACCACCACCACCACCACCACCACCACCACCACACCACCACCACCACCACCACCACCACCACCACCACCACCACCACCACCACCTTCACCACCGCCAGGGGTCCACGGAGCCCGATTTTCTACACGCCGACGTCGCCGATGCATCGTCTTCGGCGATGCATCGCCAATGCATCGTCGATCTATCGTCGAGATGCATCGTCGATCCATCGGCGATGCGACACGATCCTCCGACTCTACCTGATCGGACTTCATCAGTGATGCCTCTAATCACCACCATCGCAAGGAGGCCACCTCCAGCGAGGAGGTCCACGCTCCCCGAGCTGGAGCCGACGAAACAAAACTGGCATAAACATAGCTTTGGGAGGTCCGCGCGGATTTCTTGGATCGGCGCCGGCCCCCCTGGCGGCGCCTCTGGCGCCGCCCCTGGTGTGCTTCGAGTGCCATGGAAGGGCGTCCATTCCCGATCCCAGAAGTGCACACGGAGCTTCAAAGGTGTAGGTGTATGCATGTTTGTATCAAGTCGGGCCTGTCCCTCCACAGGAGGAATTTCCTGGGGACCATTTTTCTGATATGTTTGAGCATTTATGTAGTATGTTTTGGGTATTGTAGTGGCCTTCGGCCAGTGCCGCCGATCCGGGTCGCTCGGGGTTATTTTCCAGACGCAGACATTATGGGGAAACCACAGGTTTTGCTTGAAACTTACCCTAAAACGTTTGGTTTCTCTGAGAAAGCGCGCTGCGACGGTTTCATTGCCAGCCGCGGAAATCCTATGTTTGGGGTATTTTTTATTTTTCGTCCAGAATCCTCCTGTAGGGAGACACGCCCGACTTAAGGCTTGTATTCTCTACCTCCAGAGAGGAGGCCCACGGTGACTCCCGGAGCCCGAGGCTGGAGCTGCCCCGGGCGGGGCAGGGGAGACCACACCACCAGGGAGCCGCCCTCTAGCTTTCAGTCGAGCCGCCCCAGCTTTTGGTTTGACTACTCCAGATTTCGTAATAAAGGGAGGGGGGTCTCATTTCGGGGGGGGGTCTCTTCCAGGCTATCTTGGAGGGCCTGGGGGGGTCTGGGGACGATGTTTTGGAGGGTTCTCCCACGGGGGGGAGTCTGAAATGGCTTGTCTTGGAGGGTCCAGACCTCCTCCCTTTTACTACGAACTCTGGAGTATTTTTCTTCTAAAATCCCCTTGTAGGGGGCCAGGCCCGACTTCACCCCAGCTCCTCGAGCTGGTGGTGGTGGTGGTGGGGCAACTGCAAGGTACCGATGCCGCTGCTCCTCGGACCCCTCCTGGGGCGCGTTCTGACCAGAACTTCGAGGCGAATCCAGCGGTGGCGACGAGGGCCTTCCAGGAGGCCCAACAAGGGGAAAACGAGGCAACGGTAGTGGTACGGGTGCCTCTTCCTCCTCTGAGGTGGTGTCGCTCTTCGTTGCTCCCGCGAGGAGTGCTCGCGCGGCGCCCACGGCGCCGCTGCCTCTGTGCCCCCCAGCCCCGCGCTGACCGCATCGCCCGGCGGCGTCGGGTGGCGCCCGCACACGCCCGGACCCGCCCACGCCGTGCTGCGGCTGGCGGACCTGATCTAGGAGTCTCGGGCCTTGGCCGGGGATGCGTAGAGCGGGGGGTTGTCCCAAGGTGGGGTCGGGGAGCGAGCCCAGCTGGATGTTCACACTTCCTTCTTCCAGGGGCCGTTTGGAGCGACTTTCCTTCACCCCACCTGTGCCCTTGCCCCACCTTTACGTTTGCCCGACTTAGGCCCACATCATTAGGCCCATCTCTGTAGGAGGGAGGCGGAAGAGTCAGAGGAGGAAAGGGTACCCATACCGCTACCCCTTCCCTCGTTGTCCCTTTTTTGGGCCTCTTGGGAGGCCTTCGTCGCCACTGCTGGTTTCGCGTCGAAATCCTGACCAGAAGGCGCCCCGGGAGAGGTCTGAGGAGTAGCGGTATTGTTTTTTTTTGGTTTTCCAATTCAGGAGGAGGGAAGTCGAGGAGAGCTGGAATCAGCATCGCCAGGCCCATCCGACCATCAGCAGTGGGCCAGGGTTCCTTGGCCCCTCCAGCTTGCGCCCCTCCCCCCCGGGCGCGGACGGATGCCGCGCAGCCCGACGGAGGCGGCATCTGTCTTCTCCCGGGGGGGGGGGGGGGAGGCAGGTCGGACAGTGGGGCTGAGAGTTTCCAGGTCGTCGGGCAGGGTGTGGGCGTAACGATGCCGAATATCAGTCAGTTCCCGGCGCGTCCCGCCCATAGCCCGACCAGCGCCTGACCGCTTTCGCACTCCTGCGCCCGCTGACTTTCTGCCAGGAATGATGCCGATCAGAGGCTGGCCCAGGATGCATCCGCGATGCTGCGCTGCGGCGCGCCCTCCCGCCCCTCCCAGGGGGGCCCACATGCGAACCCTACCCCTGCCCTACCCCCCGCGATTTTTAAGGGCGAGGGTGGGGTTCACTTCGCTCGGGAGCTCGGGTAGGGTTCGCATGTGGCCCCCTAACTCCTCCTCCTGCTCCTCCTCCTCATCGTCCTCGTCCGCCCCAGGCCTCCCTCACTAAAGGAGTGCCTGCAGGTGGCTAACTCTTCGCTTCTGCACCGCGGGGCGCGCCGAGGGAGACGAGCGTTTCCCCGTGGGCCTGCCGTGTCCGGGGAGAGCCCATCCGCGTGGAAGAGGATCCGCCGCGGGATCCCTGGAGCTTTGCGTCGGGCGTGTCCCTCGACAGGAGGAATCTTCGAGAATAGTAAACACACGGTAGGGTGACGATCTGTCTCGGTTGTTCTGACTAGTTTTGGTTATGGTTTGATTATGTTCTTGATTTGGCTGCCAGAATCCGCCTGCAGGCGGGCATGCCCGACCCAATTGTAGCTGGAGTAACGGGCAAGGGCTGAGTGGTGAAATTCAGAAGGTGTCAAGACAGAGCCCCCAGGTTGGAGCGGATCCACCCCTCAGCAGCGCACATGAAGGTGACGCGCACCATCGTTGGCTTAATCTGTCATGAGAGCGCGAGCGAGACCACGCACCAGCTTGTTTCTTATCAGCTTATCAGTGTAAATGCAGCAAGGTGTTACGGCTGGGGGTTGCGCCAAGACTGTCGGGCCTCCATACGTGCAATGAGCTGCTCGAAATCGCTAAGGCACATGTGCACAACGCTATGACGATGCCAATACTTTGACGCTCGTCCGCCCTTGATCCGTGTGAGCCTTGGAGACTGTAAAGACGAATGAGCGCGGCGCTACGACCAGGACCGCATTTTCGAAGTCAGCCTCTCTGCATTACGCCTATGAGGTCAGCGTTAAACTCATGAATTGTGTGGGCGTCTCAGGCGATGCGCCTGGCCCGCTCCACCAGCACATATGGAGGAACGACGAGGATTACAGTTCTATGCGGAAGAGTTGGATCTATGATGCTGATGCTGATGATGATGTTGATGATGATGATGATGATGATGATGATGATGATGATGATAATGATGTTGATGGTGATGATGATGATGATGATGATGATGATGATGCTGGCGATGATGATGATGACGATGACGATGCTGATGCTGATGCTAATGCTGATGCTGATGCTGATGCGGATGATGATGATGCTGCTGCTGATGCTGATGATGCTGATGCTGCTGCTGCTGCTGATGATGATGATGATGATGATGATGATGATGATGATGATGATGATGATGGTGATGATGATGATGATGATGATGATGATGATGATGATGATGATGATGATGATGATGATGATTGCGGAACTAGAAAAAGCGGAGGATTCTGAACATGCCATGAGCTATACGGATGGGGTATTCGGAGGGGATCGTTCTGCTGGATTATGTTTGCCTCTCCTCCGAAGTTGCGAACCATGCACATCGGTGGCGGTGGCATTTTCCCCTACCCCAGGCAGTCTGTGGGCGACAAGGTTCGTCTTTGCACATGGTGAGAGGAGGAAGATGAGGAGGGGAGGAGGTGGAGGAGGAGGAGGAGTAGGCGGCGGAGGAGGGGGAGGAGGAGGACAGTGTAAACCCCACCCATGATTCATCCATCAACGATGTAGCAATCAGCCCTCCCTTCATGTTTCCCCTTCACTGGTCCCTAAAAGGTTTCATGATCACTGATGGAAGTGCCCCGCTGGAAGACAACCGTCTGAACATCCTGAACCGTGGCCCATCCCGGGGACTGCAACGCCGCGAACCAACGTGACTGTTGCATCCTGACGATTCTGAATCGTGCCAGAGCGCCGTTCCTGGGACTCCGACACCCCGAACCAGTGCAACAGTTGCGCCCTGACAGTCCCACATCGTGCCAACATACTTTTCTGCAACGTCAACCATAAGAATCCATGACACTGCTGTGAACTCTTGCGGCGAATGTGCTCGGTGCCAAGGCGAGAGCCACACTTTGAGAACAATGCACAGCCCTCCATCCGTGGAGCTCTTGTGAGCTTTCAAACGAATGTGCGCGGCGCTGAGGCGCCAAGTCATTTTCAGAACCTGCCCTCCATCCGCCAAGTTGTTGCAAACCCTTTTACGACGAGCATGCGCAACGCTCAGGCGACAGCCAAAGTTTGGAAACGGCCCGCCCTCCATACGTGAATTTGTTGCCACATTCATTCCAGCGTAAGGGTCATGAAGGGTTAGCATCTCAGGCGAAACGCCCCGCCCGCCCTATCCACACGCTTCGAGGTGCGACAATGAGCTTGTTGTAAGGAGAAGGGGTTGATTGGGAAGGAGGACGACAGAAATAGGAGAAGGACGAGGAGGAGGAGAATGAGGAGGAGGAGGAGGAGGGGGAGGAGGAGGAGGAGATGGTGAAGAGTAGGCGGAGGAGGGAGCAAGCGATGGGGATGAGGATGAGAACGAGGATGAGGATGAGGATGATGTTGATGACGACGGCGACCATGATGATGATGATGCTGATGATGCTGCTGATGATGACGATGATGATGATGGCGTATGACGATGCTGATGATGATGCTGCTGATGATGATGATGGTGCTGATGATGATGATGATGATGATGATGATGATGATGATGATGATGATGATGATGATGATGATGATGCAGATGAGGATGAGGATGAGGATGAGGATGATGATGACGATGACGATGACGATGACGATGACGAGGAGGAGAAGGAGGAGGAGGAGGAGGTGGAGGAGGAGGAGGTGGATGATGATGGCTGTTTGTGTATTGTTTATTTAACCTAGAGAGCCAACCGCGACATGAGCCCGAGGCGAAGCGTAGCCACCGCGTATTCGGAGCCGAACCCTGAATACAACATGGCCTCTCAACGCCCCATCGGTGCACACGACCAACGGCCTCGCTCATTCGCGCTCACGCCCGCCACTCGAGCGCTTCCTCTCGCAGCTGATGGCAACCAGTGTCGCAGCACTGCACCGCCCGCGTTGCTCTTCCAACGATTCTCGCCGAACTCGGGGTCGTCGATGCCTCCGACCGCTCTGCCGATGCCCTCCATCTCTTTCTGCTTTGCCTCGGCATCACAGCTGGCTGGTTCTCGCAGTGCCACCTGTGAATACTTTGTTGCCTCGGAGGAGGAACGCGCCCCAGTCCGGAGGGAGGCCTCGTCTGCAATGGGTAACCTATCTGCGTGCTGAGGCCTTGTCTGTGGCGCACGATGCCCTGGACACATTACAGACGCTGCTGCAAAATCCTTCAGAATGGCGTGATGTTGTAGCCCGACATTCTGCCCCGCCAATCCCCGTCCTTTTCCCTGCCCCTCCCGTGCCTTCTCGCCCGCCTACCCCACCTCGTTGGGAACGGAGGATATAGCGACGGTTCCCCGAGGCACTGTGCAACTATGTGTTTTCTCTGCATGCTGGCACGCATGTGATCCGCATTTTCAATGTGTTGGCCAATGCGCCGTCAGAGCGCGGCTTTGCTGATTCGTCCACCTTATGACCGCTTGCACCGCCGACTCCGTCTTCGCGATCGCCTCCGAGTCCTCTCCGACACTGCCTCCAAACCCCGCCAGCTGCCGCAGGGGGCTGCTCACCAGGAGGGCGAAGTCCCCTCGAGGCAACCCCGCTCCTCGCTCAGCTTCGCCACCACGGTGCTCCAGCGCGACCTGCACGAACTCGGCTAGCTCCTCGGCGCGGCGTCCCATCCGCGTCGACTCCTTCACGTCCTCATCCCGGCCAAGCTTCTCGGCCTCATCCTACTCGTGCTCCCCGCTCGCCTGCTGGGGGGGGCCCGCCCAGCGCTGTGAGAAGCGGTACCGACGCCAGTGCCTCCGAGATTCGCAGGCTCTGCTCGTCGAGGTCGTCGCACCACTGGTGTTTGTCGCGACAGACGATCCTCGTGCGCCCCTGGCACGCCCATGTCCACGACGTCTTGGTGCACCGTTTTCCCGACCACCTGGCCGACCGCGTAGATGGTGACCAGCTCGACCCTCGCACGGGCCGTGTCCTGCCTACTCCAGATTTCGTAATAAAGGGAGGGGGGTCTCATTTCGGGGGGGGTCTCTTCCAGGCTATCTTGGAGGGCCTGGGGTGGTCTGGGGACGATGGTTTGGATGGTTCTCCCACGAGGGGGGGTCTGAAATGGCTTGTCTTGGAGGGTCCAGACCCCCTCCCTTTTATTAC